ATGATGCATCGTATTTTTAATTCATATACCACTGATTGGTCAAATCAGGCTGGCGTGAATTGTCGTCAGGAGCTCGGATGCCTGAACAAGAGAGTACATTAACAATGGTCACAACCATCCTCACACCACAGGGGCTTGAGATGAATGTAGGGTAAACTGATCAGGTTCCACGGTCTCATCAAACAACATATCGAGTTGCAAATAAGATATATATATACAGTGATGTACCAAGTAGAAAACTTAGTAACGCATCACAGGAGAGGCTGTACCCGACCAGGCGGTAAACACATGTATTCGTAGAAGAGGATGTACCCGACACGACCTGGCGCTTCAAACTGACATTCAAAACATTTACGTGTTCATTATTTCCCAATCCTCGATAATCTTTATAAGGCAGAAAATGATGACTACTGATGTATTCCGTCTTTGCGTATTGCAGAGTTATCTCTCTTGAGAGCAGGTATTGATTGTTCCGTCATTTGTTTGTGATAGTAACGTCATCAAGTTTTGAGAAGACGACGTAATTTTCTCACACAAACCAATGACGTAACAATCAATACCTGCTCTCAAGAGAAGATAACTCTACAATACGCAAAGACGGAATTGGCTAGTTCCGTTTGAAGAGTTTGGAACGTCAGAATAAGTTTGCTATTTATATAGAAATTTAATTAAATTACATTTTGTTTTTGAAAGATGTCGGTTGGCTAATATCACTGTCATGTGGAATACTGAATTACATGGCGATTTTCTAATGCGTAATACTGTAAAAAAACAAACTGCTATCACGATGGAGACTGACCAATTCAACCATTATCTACCACGTCAATTTGTAAAACAATGATTACAAATATGTTGTAAATAATGCGAGGTTTGATCAAATCACTACACCCCTAAATATACATAATTTAATCAGCGTTAAAACAAAAGCATCAACTTGAAGTTTTATGAAGATAAGAGTTCGTGAATCAATCTAACCCAGTACAATGAGCTATCTATTGTGTAATGCAATGCATCACGATACAGCACATACAATACAAATATTATCACTAAAACAAATATGTATATCAAAGAAAAAATCCTTTGTAAATCAAAAGCATATCAAGAATATTTGAGACACAAAAATCATGACCAATGACACACACGCGGTAAGGTCGAGTTCGAATAACAATGATTATTTCAAAACAAAAAGGTGTACTACGCCGTATTAATATTATTATATAAATAGTTGTATAGAAGTGTCGTATGTGTGGCACTAGGTATTAGAATTAGAATATTTGAATGTTTGGAAACGAACGAAAAACACTCACATTCCGGGATTCATAATGGCCCTTATCTCTCCAGTGACATGGATATATTAATTTATACGCAAATAGTTTTGAGAGACAAATAGATGAACGAAACACGTCTTTTAAACAAATCAAGGTTAATACGACAGTGCCAAATTCGCCATTATTTTACTTTCTACGCCGTTATTACTGGTCCTATTTAAATATCATTTGTGCTACAAATATAGTAAATGCATCTTAAGTACGAGCGACAAAGTGCGGAAATATAATAGGAAAAGTAACTTCATTTAGTGTATAACCACACTAAAGAACAACTTAATGAGTCCAATCGTACATACTGTCTTGAGATATCGTAGCAACGGCCATATCATATAAAATGTCTTAAATACCGATACAGTATGACAATGTACAGAGGACAACAACAGTAGGGACCGTCTGACAATGTACAGAGGACAACAACATTAGGGACAGTGTGACAATGTACAGAGGTCAACAACAGTAGGGACAGTCTGACAATGTACATAGGACAACAACAGTAGGGACAGTCTGACAATGCACAGAGGACAACAACAGTAGGGACAGTCTGGAGATTTCAAAGAAACAGAACAATCTCGTCGTAAGCATGGCTTTATATTGCAGTACAATAACCCTCTTCTCAAACCAAGTTGAAGAGGACAACAACAGTAGGGACAGCCTGACAATGTACAGAGGACAACAACATTTGGGACAGTCTGACAATGTACAGAGGACAACACCAGTAGGGATAGTCTGACAATGTACAGAGGACAACCACAGTAGGGACAGTCTGACAATGTACAGAGGTCAACAACAGTAGGGACAGTCTGACAATGTACAGAGTACAACAACAGTAGGGACAGTGTGACAATGTATAGAGGACAACAAGAGTAGGGACAGTCTGACAATGTACAGAGGACTTGAGATATCGTAGCAACGGCCATATCATATAAAATGTCTTAAATACCGATACAGTATGACAATGTACAGAGGACAACAACAGAAGGGACAGTATGACAATGTACAGCGGACAACAACAGTAGGGACAGTCTGACAATGCACAGAGGACAACAACAGTAGGGACAGTCTGACTATGTACAGAGGACAACAACAGTAGGGACAGTGTTACAATGTGCAGAGGACAACAACAGTAGGGACAGTCTGACGATGTACAGAGGACAACAACAGTAGGGACAGTATGAAAATGTACAGAGGACAACAACAGTAGGGACAGACTGGTGATTTCAAAGAAACAGAACAATCTCGTCGTAAGCATGGCTTTATATTGCAGTACAATAACCCTCTTCTCAAACCAAGTTGAACACTTAGGGACAGTCTGACAATGTACAGAGGACAACACCAGTAGGGATAGTCTGACAATGTACAGAGGACAGCAACAGTGGGGACAGTTTGACAATGTACAGAGGACAACAAGAGTAGGGAAAGTCTGACAATGTACAGAGGACAACAACAGTAGGAGCAGTATGACAATGTACAGAGGACAACAACAGAAGGGACAGTATGACAATGTACGGGGGACAACAACAGTAGGGACAGTCTGACAATGAACAGAGGACAACAACAGAAGGGACAGTATGACAATGTACAGATGACAACAACAGTAGGGATAGTCTGACAATGTACAGAGGACAACCACAGTAGGGACAGTCTGACAATGTACAGAGGACTTGAGATATCGTAGCAACGGCCATATCATATAAAATGTCTTAAATACCGATACAGTATGACAATGTACAGAGGACATCAACAGTAGGGACAGTGTGACAATGTACAGAAGACAACAACAGTAGGGACAGTCTGACAATGTACATAGGACAACAACAGTAGGGACAGTCTGACAATATACAGAGGACAACAACGGTAGGGACAGTGTGACAATGTACAGAGGACAACTAGAGTAGGGACAGTCTGACAATGTACAGAGGACTTGAGATATCGTAGCAACGGCCATATCATATAAAATGTCTTAAATACCGATCCAGTATGACAATGTACAGAGGACAACAACAGTAGGGCAGTCTGACAATGTACAGAGGACAACAACCGTAGGGATAGTGTGACAATGTACAGAGGACAACAACAGTAGGGACAATCTGACAATGTACAGAGGACAACAACAGTAGGAGCAGTATGACAATGTACAGAGGACAACAACAGAAGGGACAGTATGACAATGTACAGAGGACAACCACAGTAGGGACAGTCTGACAATGTACAGAGGTCAACAACAGTAGGGACAGTCTGACAATGTACAGAGGTCAACAACAGTAGGGACAGTCTGACAATGTACATAGGACAACAACAGTAGGGACAGTCTGACAATATACAGAGGACAACAACGGTAGGGACAGTGTGACAATGTACAGAGGACAACTAGAGTAGGGACAGTCTGACAATGTACAGAGGACAGCAACAGTAGGGACAGTCTGACAATATACAGAGGACAACAACGGTAGGGACAGTGTGACAATGTACAGAGGACAACAGAGTCCAATCGTACATACTGTCTTGAGATATCGTAGCAACGGCCATATCATATAAAATGTCTTAAATACCGATACAGTATGACAATGTACAGAGGACAACAACAGTAGGGACAGACTGGTGATTTCAAAGAAACAGAACAATCTCGTCGTAAGCATGGCTTTATATTGCAGTACAATAACCCTCTTCTCAAACCAAGTTGAACACTTAGGGACAGTCTGACAATGTACAGAGGACAAAAACAGTAGGGACAGTCTGACAATGTACAGAGGACAGCAACAGTAGGGACAGTCTGACAATGTACAGAGGACAACAACAGTAGGGACAGTCTGGTGATTTCAAAGAAACAGAACAATCTCGTCGTAAGCATGGCTTTATATTGCAGTACAATAACCCTCTTCTCAAACCAAGTTGAACACTATACTGAATAGGGCTATATATTTCAGAACAATAACCTCTTCCCAAACCAAGTTGTACACTATACTGGATAGGGCTTTATATTTCAGTACAATAACCCTCTTCCCAAACCAAGTTGTACACTATACTAAATACACTTGTATTTTATTTAACCAAATGGATGAGGCCTCCATCATGCCCTCGTTCGACAATGTACCTATTTGGCACAGTGACGCATTTCGTCGTACGCATTGTCTGGGCTTTAAAACCAATTCAACGCGTCTACAGCTTGAAGTACCTGCATTAGCCGTATTCCAGACAAAATTAGTGATAGTGCATAAAAACAAGTGACGTAGCTTTACACTAAGTTTTAACTTGTCGTAAGAACAATCAAAACGTCACACTTCCACACGCACACACACCATGGGCAACAACAGACGTAGCGTACCGCCAAACGCACAGACGGAAATCTTAAAATGTCGTGCAATGTATATGCTGCCATTGAAAATAAGCATTGAAAATGTTAGATGTCTGCATAAAGAGACTGCCTTGGAAAAGTCTCAAACACACGTCTTTCCAAATTAAATCTGTAATAGCAATGAGAACACGACATTCGGACAGCATGAAATACGAGTTGCTGATGAGAGATACTGTTCCAGAAACGGGCTACCGGTGGGTGCCCTATATACTCGTGTGGACAAAGCTCAACACCCTTTTTTTCCTGCCCATCATATATCAATGCCACCTGATACTCTTCGCTATCATTTACTATTAAACGTAATAAACATAAATACGTACCTTTCTATCTCGTTTCTAAATAAATAGGCAGTGACTTCGTTGTCCTCGGGTATAACCTTCGTGTCATAAAAGACGTCGAATTCGGGCCATTCGGAGGCGACGCCCCTTCGCACGTGCAGGAGGATCACAAGGAGGACGATGAGGTCGGTGAGCAGTCCGGTACAGCAGCCATTGGAGGGGTCGAGCGGTCGTACCATGGTGAACCTGTAACGGGACCATTGTGGCTTTAGTAAGACACGTGTGCCACTTAGAGAAGGTCTAATGAACAAGATGTATCGCTTTATAATTTAAGAAATAGAACAATCTTAAAAGTCCCCGGGATATAAAGCTCAGGGATTAACCCCTTTTTGGTTTATGGGTCTAACTTGGAATACCTACCTGAAATATCCGCTTTACTTTATCATATTTTCCAGTGTGAGTGTAAGTAATTGCAGATAGTTAAGTAAGATACATGAGAGACGATTTTCCGTGCAGCAAAAGTTTACATATCTGTGCCAGCGAGGCTTACTATGTTTATTTCTTACCGAGTTCCAGTGTACAGGAGAAACAGTTGTGTATATAATCCGCGGAACACCAAGCCACATAGCCCTCAGTCTACACAGGCATACACCAGCCTCACCAACTTCCAATTTTAACATTGAAAATTGGAACTCAATCATCAGCACCACAAATTTAGAATATATTTATAAACATTGAAATCACGATTGGTTGGAATGTATTTGTCGGTAATTGTTGAATTCGACCTAAGTGTATGAATGTGTGAATACATAACTCCTACGAACGATCGGCCAATTTTCCTCTCTTTAGCACATGGGCTGTTATAGCAGTTCCAAATTATAACTAATACATTGCTACACTAATTTATAAATTAAGCTACTCATGTTTGAACACGTGTGTGGTCAACAATACAACGCGCGTGTAGAGATGGCCCGACAGTACGGCTGATACCGAGAATGAAATCCTCGTCGTTCTCGGCACCCTTCCATATTTTAACGAGGAAATGCACCTGGTCGTTTGTAGAATAAAGTCATGGTTCTCTCTGCCGTATCGCCGCAGAAACCAACATGGGCAAAATTAAAATAAACTTGATTTATTGTCTATATTAAGTACGTTATCGTTCATTATTACATGAATCATTCAAATAAAAATATCCAGTAATTTGGGAAACGTGTAAAACGCCATACTCTAAATTACGGAACAAGTGAAAAAAGTAGAGTTTATATTGCAATATACGCCTAATGTGTAGTAGGAACAAGTGCGTTTCCCACTAGAAATAAAACATTAAACGAAGTTTTCCAATTCTTGTACGGAAATAGAAAAGTATGTATGGCTCTTTCGAATCATCATGGCTCAAAGTCAAACAATATGGAAATAAAATATTTTTTGGATACAGTTCCCCATTAAAAGGAGTCCACATACGCAACCCTGATACTGGTGGTTATATGTCGGGAGGCTTCTGAGGGGAGTTATCGCTGGCCCTGACACGGGATCTACGTACGTATTGCTGACGAGAGGCGGACTACCTAATGGGGCGGGGGTTCCCTCCCTCTTATCACATATCTAAATATAAGACAGGTGATAGCAGCGGTACACGATAAGTAGAAATTGTTCCTAAGCTTTCATTAAGATGGCAAGGAAATAGAGAAATAAAAAAGTATTGCTGATAAAAAGCTGTAGATATCTGAGGCTAGACTTGTAGACAGCTTTTGTCTGTGTGGACGGGTGCCATGAGTCCCCTATATTAACTTGACCTTGTTCTCGGATTATACAGAGATGCCGTTGGGTTAATACACTATTATTTTCCCCAAAAAACTCCTAAACGACCCTGCTATGATCTGAGTTTGGTTTTCATTATAGGCCATCCACAAAGACCGCGCTAATGGGCAATGTTACCGGCCTCGTCAACACTTCCGCGCAACTGGCGTGGTTTTTCTGCTTCAGAACTAACCAAAAATTTATCGGTATACGAGATTAACATGGTGGAAAATAAAAACACTTTTTTGATATGCTTGTAATATGCATTAAGACAACTTTTTACGCCCGATATGTCATTTGAATGATGTAATATGGAAACTGTCTGATGAAATGGATGCCTTCCCGAATACATCGTCTTAAAATTGGAACAATCTGATTTTATATCAGTTGTTCTTATTTTGTCTTTGTATAAAGAGATTTGAGGAGCTTTCATCACTTATTTAAACCACCAGAAAGTGGTTCAAATCTACATGCAATTCAGTGCATTTTTTTAAGATAACAGTAATTTAGATAAATGTTTCATTTGGTTGACCTTATTCATAATAAAAGTTAGTTCTGACCATAGCCACCACTACTGGTGTTACCAAACAGTTTTGTGAGGGAACCATGCATACATCTCTTAAAGTTATACGAATGTCTAGAAATGTACAGCAAGAAAACAATCATTGTCAACAACAGGTAGAAATAGCATGCAGTAACAAACGTAATTAAAACCATTCAAAACGAATATAACACTAGGTTATCTTAACAAAGATATCTAATAAATAAGGGGAAAGCATGATTCGAAGCTACACCACTAACGTAATTGGAAATAGTGTTTCCTCAACATGATTCACATAAGGTACCTCAAAACTAAGGTCATACCATGATTCAAACATACTTCTAAACTAATTCGAAGACATCATGATTCGAAGAGTCCCGAAAGCTAAGGAGAATACGACAAAATTCGTAAGATATCCGAAAATTTAAAGGAATATAATATGATTGAAAGACATTTATCTTTCGGAAAAATAATTCGAATAATCTACTCAAACCTTTAAAGACAACAAATAAGTTGAATAGACGTCAAATATATGTGGATTATGATTTAAGACACACGTAAACTACGAGAAAATTTCCTGATATACAAAATGTAGCATGTCAAACAAAGAGAAAACTTAATCACTTGTAGACATCAAACAGACGTACCAAGTAAAATGATACCAAAATACGTCAAACACAAAGAGGAAAAGAGGAAAAGAAAAAAGGACAATCAAAACGGATTGAAAAACAAAATGTGTGCATGGTATGCGAAGATTTGTAAATCAACTAAGCGTTGAACCGTACGAACGAGCTATTACTGACCTCGTTGGTGGAGATATCCCAATATATTTAACTAGATTCTTTAAACAGAGGCTTTTTTTTTTATTACATTGGTGATTAAAACAAATCTGTCATACATCGGTAAATGTGTCATTTTCCCACCTAAGATCGTGGTGTGACATGTTATAACCCAGTCTGTAGTGTATCGGTAGGTGCTACTCCACACTGCTGTGCCGTGAGGACATATCCGTGTGTTTCTCTTGTCGTCACTTGATAAGGACGATATAACCATTCGTCCTGGTGACCCTAGACCATTTTATGTGATTTTTCATTTTTTGATGTCATATGGTTTAAATTTTATATAACATTTAAGGACCGTGTATATGCTAGCGTGTTTTTTCTTGTGTTCGTGATATATTGAGATAAGCATTTTATGAAGTATGCGTTTTTTCTCTTGCAAGCGGGCCTTCGGCTTCTCAGAAATTATAGTGAACGGGCGGCGATATCTTTAGTTCCCACCATCCTCCGAAGCCTCAAAACACCCGGGACACACCAGGTGCTTACCACCAGTAGTCGAACAATACAAAACACCCGGGACACACCAAGTGCTTACCACCAGTAGTCAAACAATACAAAACACCCGGGACACACCAGGTGCTTACCACCAGTAGTCAAACAATACAACACACCCAACTACTACATAGTCTTCATATCTATCTTAGTAAACTTAGTAAAATAAAACAAATGTTACGTTTTAGTTTGTTAGTTATAATACTGTACCATTATCATAGGAAACAAAGATACTCGCAATTCCATGTTCAATGTAATACGTTTCTATAACAACATACATAAATACCCCCATGAAACACATTCATCTGTTATATTTTAAAGTCAACGTTATTTTATTGTCATATTAGATATAATTACCTCCAGAAGCAAACTATTATCCTACGGTGAAATTTGTTATTACAAGTTATAAATACCATGAGAATATATTCTTCTATTTCATGGTCAATGTTATTATTTTATTATAAGATGTATTACTACTCCGAGAAACAAACTATTATTCCATGTCCAATATTGTTATCATAACTAATTACTACTATATTATAGTAAACACATTTTATTGCTGGTGTTATATCACAATGTATATAAGATGAATTAACCATAAACCGTCACCATATTACCTGAGCTATTGTAAAGTTATAAAACCTAAGTCAATCAATAATTACTATAAATATTAAGCTGTCATTCATGTTCGATTCGTTGTAATTATGAGATATAAATATCATGAGAAAACAATGTTACCTGCTATTCCTATGAATTGCATTGGACAGGGAACTCAATACCGTCTATATTTGATACATTTCCACAGATGTATTGTTTCTCCTTCAACACAGCACATACGAATGTATCCTCGATATGGTTCCTATCTGTACAAATTAAATCACGTGCATTACACGGCAGCATTAATATAACTTTTCCATCCATATTTCGCACACACATATGCATATCATGGATTATCATGAATCAACTACCCGAAGTACACTTAACGTAGGCCCACATGTCTTCCCGTGTCGTGTTTACCACTTCACGTAGCCCCACATGTCTTCTCGTGTCGTGTTCATCACGTCACGTAACTTCACTTGTCTTCCCGTTTCGTGTTTACCACTTTAGGTATCTTAACGTGTCTTCCCGTGTCGTGTTTACCACTTCACGTGCAGTAGTAGACCTTTCTGGACACCACCGGTTCCCATGATCAGCTGTAGAGGTCTATCCGAAGTGTCCTGAGCCGGTTACGGCATCACACGTGTAGCTTTGGAGAAGGATAAAAGTCGATGTGTGCTGGTGTCATGCTACTTTGAAAATCAAAGTGATTTCAACTGATGCACCATGGCTGTACTCCAGTCTGACGTATGCGGCTTTTACACTCCAATAAAACTGCGGAGATAGCGGCCAGACCGCTAACCTGTATACACCTCGCTAATAAATGACCAACTACACTCTATTAAAACAACACAAAAGAGAGAGGCATCGCGGGCCAAAACACGTGCTACAGAGACAGACGGATCGATGTGAGCACACTAGTCTCTGTCTGTGGACAGGTGAGCGACCAGAGACCACCTAATTAGTTGTCCCATTGATTCCGGATATATACTGTATATATACACGACAAAAACCGCAAGGCACTCAACTAGTCGGCTCTATTGTTACACACTACACTTTCTTTGTCGTTAGTGCTTCTAAACGTATATTTCCACGCTAAGTCGATTTACTGTATTACATTGGTCAAGTGTGGGGTCCGCTCACGATCTGCGTGTGCCTGACCGTAGTAGACTATTACAACTGATGAGATACCACACCGCCAACCAGACGAGGCGCACAGAAATTGTATGAAGCTGACCTATATAGTAAAATAGCAACTGTGTGAGTGGCTTTTTGCCGTCTGCGATACTCCGTACTGGTGGAATAGGCTACTGTGTATGATTGGGCCTGTCTTCCTGGGAGCACTACCGCAACAGGACAACTACACGTAGTCCTGTTAACTCGTGATACATACCCCAATTTATATGTAATTACACTACTGCAAAAAGCCAATAACCCCATGTGGGTATGATAAAAGGCTCAACGCCGTTCTGGTAAAAGTCTCCACAACGATGGTCTGTGTTTTGGCAACGGCAATTGGTTAGATTCCAATAATTAATTTCATCCATTGCTATCAAAATCATAAGCTAATGGAAGATGTAAAAGTACGATATTACGTTCCATTTTGATAAATTGTGTACAAAATAGTATTCAAACACTTCTGTGTTGTGATATGTTGTATCCAGACTGTTGCATCGGTAACACAATAAGGGGGCGTGTCTAGGGGAAGGACCAGGACCGTTACGTCACATCGGACGCAACGGAATCTCATGTGAGGATCTGTCGGTTCGTGTTGTAAATGCTGACGTGCACTCAAGTCGGTAGTTATCGACACATCCTATCCGACTCGTGACAGACAGGGATCATCGATCAGACACCCCACCTTGTCCCACACAACGACACCTTCCATACCCGTAACATACCCGCTACACCAGATAAGGCTACGACCAAACACGCCATTGTCTTATACATTTAATTATATTGCAGTGTTAAATTCAAGGACTATTAAAACTATGCAAGGTATGTGGAGCTTTGTCTACAATGTATCTAGAGTACTTGTGGCTTGTATAACCTTTACCTGAACAATGACATGCTTCAAATGTATACAACACACAAATACACGTGTGTTTGTTTTGTTATTCGCACAGGGGGGAACGTTGGGCACTCTAATTAGAAAACACCTCCCCGATTCACGATTCCTTTGTATTTACTTTCCTCCTACTGTTGGCGTACGTACAAGTCCCGTTGGTAGCGATGTCCAGATTTAATCAGTCGTTACAATATTGAACTGTATCGTAAGTAAGTAGTTTTAACTGAGTGACTCGACATGGAGTGTGTGTTGACAAGTACAATATTTGTTTTGTGGTAATGATCCTCTTTCACGATATGATTTACTTTTACTACGACGGCGTGACCACTGCGGAGCATTAGGGGGTGGTGGGCACGTGTTCGATTCCCAGACGTGGGCTTAACACCGGATATCAATGTCACGCACTTAACACGGTAGTATTTATAAATAGAAACTTAGGGAGTAAAACTGACTATTTGTTGGCGTTACGTACCAAAAATAGGCGCTGTAAATTATACTGTTTCTATTATTCATGACTAACGAACCATTAAAAAGCGGCATAAAATGATAAAAAAGCAAGGAATCTCAATGAAATCTTATAAAATATTGAATAGTATACATAATAAGAAAATGATCGATAGCGAAAAGCATGTTGCCCTCCCGAGTGACCTCGGCTTCCTTAACTCTATCTCCTCCGGGGAAATAGAAAATACCTGAACGAAAACACCTGTCACCACCTGTGATTACCCTGTACTACATATAGCCCCTGTCATGTGTTACTATGTGCGTGCGGGAGGCTAGGTATGACACGTGATCAGCACTTAACAGTATCAAACGGACTTGATTATATTGCTGTTTATTTATTATTCTTAATATCTATTTAACCATTGGACTGTTTGTAATGGCGTGAATTTTCATATTCGATAATTATGCCACTTTTTAATACAATCTGTTATGTATTAAGCACTTTAATGATATATTCTGATCATCTGAGATGACGTTACAAGTTGGTGGACCCTATTGGTCAGTAAACGAGGGAATCTTACCGTTATAATTAAATAATTTGATTATATTTGCATATTTTCCTTGCATTATTTTTGTAATTAAAGGGAATTTACTGTTTCAATAATAACAAGCCTATACAGTTGATTTTAAATCAATGTAATAATATTTGCCAATGGCATTTTAGCATACTGTCATAGACGATTCAATTATAACATAATAAATCATATTAAGCAATGTGGTAATACACTCAATTTGAATCGTACATGTGTATTGATAGGACATTTTGTCAAATTCACCCCTGATCTTTACTTGCAACATAATTCCAATACCAAATGATGTTTTATCTGAGTATTTTGTGCATTTCCAGGGTGTGAAATTGCTGTATTCTGTATGTTGTAGTTTTTACGGTGTTTTGTTGAAAACGAATAAACTTTCATCACGAACCCGCTATCTGTCTGTCATCATTCCTGAATGAGTGACGGAACACTGTCATCATTCCTGAATGAGTGACGGAGAGTAACACATATTGGTATGGTGTGTTGTACTAGTCTTTACTCATACCATCAGATGGCATACAATAGGTCTTACCTCTTCAGCGAGTGCAACAGCATGAGGCTGTAACAACGCAGTATCTAGCAATTATTTAATGAACGCTGAAAAACATTTTTTGGTGGGATTCTTTCACATCAACGGATATAGAAATACGTACATTAGTTCGTCATCATGCAGACTGATTGAGTTAAAGTTGAACAGGATTATTTTCAAATTAACGAGTAGGCCATATTTTTCAAGCAATCACAAAATAGATGTGTAACGAACATCTTCTAACTAGAGCGTGAAGATAGCTGCGATCCAATTGTGTTCGACCCTCTGACGTCACTCAACATCAGTAAGGAAACATTAACTTCCGATGTTTTGAAACTATATCAAGTGTTTACACGTGTATGGCTATATGGAGGAGAGGTTGTGTAACATGAATAGTGTCACAACGAAGAGAAGAAACAAAAACCAATAAAAACAAAGTGAAACGTCACTTTGGTGCCAAAGTAGACAGGAACTATTGCGCTACCAGTTTAGTTGATACGTATACAAACCAACAAATTTGTTATATAACTCGATTATTGAAAAGTAATACGTGGGTTCTTGTTTTCGAAGCTGTTAAGTATTTAGCATGTCAATTGCACCTACCAAAGAAAAATATGGTCCATGTTATGGATATAAAAACTCTAAAATTTATTTTGTTTGGTCAAGAATCAATCGTGACTAGGATACCTTCTTCCGTCCACAGGGCCTATCGTTTTAATAATATTTTCATTTTGATCTCCGGTACTTTAATATCAGGAAAAAAAATGTTAACGAATATACAGTAGGTATTATTTTGAATTGCTTTGAAGTTTAAAATAACGTACTGCAGGAAGGGACCACTTATTTGTAAACAGATACGGGAAGTCAATAGGCAAGCTTAAAACTGAAATCCTAAAAGATATAAAAAAAAAAAAAAAAAAAAAAAAAAAAAAATCAGAAAGATAGTTATTACGGTACTAAGTAAGGTTGTAGTGTACTTTGTATGTTACATATTGTTTAGTATCGATTGATGTTTATCTGTATTGCTTGTGCGGTCGAAATTAAGAATTCAATAAGAACAAAGTATACTTTGACCACAAACCAATAGCAAAAGACTAGAGTGAGACTCAGCGGTCAGTATGCGTTTATGTCGGTAGTGTTAACTGACAGAATATTGGTAAAGAAATTATAACAATGAATGCCATGAACTAGCATATGCTATCTAGAAAGAACAATAGTATAAGTAACGCCCCACGTGTTTGGCCGTAACGTAACTCTAATATACGCATCAATATACGACGCTGGTAAATCATCCAAAACATTAAATTAAACCATTGGCCGAACTCCAAAATCTCCTCGGAAAGCTGCTATCGACAGGAAGTTCTCGTTTGAAATTTTCAGACGTTTTAATGAACATATTTCCGACTTGAACATCATAAGAAGAGTATCACACCTATTTACTTGTAATGACGATATACTAGCTGACCGCGAGGTGTTCCTTTCACCACGTAATACGTATCAGTAGACAAACTCTGTCCGCAGTGTTGTAATGGATACCGTAGAGTTCCTACACACGCTCACAGATTTTAACTTTATAGATGATTGCTTCTATTACGGGAGCCGATCGGGCCTGAGATAAGTACGGACCCCGTTAGTGAATGTTGATAGTAAGATGGTCAAAAGGTCAGGAACACACATTGAGAGTGATCCCCTCTTGGATTGATTCTGTAAGAGATAGTTTTCCTTCAGGTTTTCATGCTACGTTTTTCCTTTGTATATCTCTCGAGTTTCCAACATAATCATACAAGTCGAATTTTCCAACATCACACTTTTAAGAGATATATTCGAAGACATGTACCTGGAAAATGTTCCTACTCTTAAAACTTTTATTTCCAATAAAGTCCTAGTTTATATCAGGTATATATCTTTACCAGGTACATCTAGCTATGAGACGTGATTTATACCTTTTATACCAGGTATGTCCAGCTTTAATGCGTGATTTATACCTTTGATGTGATTTATACCTCTAACACCAGGTATATCTAGCTATAATATGAGATTTATACCATTGATGTGATTTATAACTTTGATGTGATTTATACCTCTAATACCAGGTATATCTGGCTATAACGTTTGATTTATACATTGGATGTGATTTATACCTCTAATACCAGGTATATCTAGCTATAATATGTGATTTATACCATTGATGTGATTTAGAACTTTGATGCGATTTATACCTCTAATGCCAGGTATATCTGGCTATAATGTATGATTCATTCCTTTGATGTGATTTATACCTCTAATACCAGGTATTTCTAGCTATAACGTGTGATTTATACCATTGATGTGATTTATACCTCTAACACCAGGTATATCTAGCTATAACGTGTGATTTATACCTTTGATGTGATTTATACCTCTAATACCAGTTATATCTAGCTATAATATGTGATTTATACTATTGATGTGATTTAGAACTTTGATGCGATTTATACCTCTAATGCCAGGTATATCTAGCTATAATGTGTGATTTATACCTTGGATGTGATTTATAACTTTGATGTGATTTATACCTCTAATACCAGGTATATCTACCTATAATGTGTGATTTATACCTTTGATGTCATTTATACCTCTAATACCAGGTATATCTAGCTATAATGTGTGATATATACCTTGGATGTGATTTATACTTCTAACACCTGGAATATCTAGCTATACTGTGTGATTTATACCTTTGATGTGATTTATACCTCTAATACCAGGTATATCTACCTATAATGTGTGATTTATACCTTTGATGTCATTTATACCTCTAATACCAGGTATATCTACCTATAATGTGTGATTTATACCTTTGATGTGATTTATACCTCTAATGCCAGGTATTTCTAGCTATAATGTGTGATTCATAACTTTGATGTGATTTATACCGCTATAACCAGGTATTTCTAGCTATAATGTGTGATTTATACATTTGATGTGATTTATACCTCTAATACCAGGTATTTCTAACTATAATGTGTGATTTATACCTTTGATGTCA